TCCTACTGAAAGACTAAGAGAAGGTACAACTACAAATAAGTCAAGTGCAGATCACAAACTGAAGTTTCAAGCACATTAAACTAGACAACATTCAAGCATTAAGTTCCACAATTCTTATCGCAAATGTATTGACATTTGTTAAAGTTGTGCTGAGAACACAAAAAATAACTCTCTCCATATTACTTTTCATCAAATAGATGATTTATTCCAAATTAAACATTTGCTTCACATTCACCCCCCAGCTATGGATTTGCCAAGAAGTAATATTTCCAACCCAGGGTCTGGCTTCCATGAAGTGTCCAGTCCTCTTAGTCAGTCACTTACAAAGGATGAGTCCATGAAAGTTGCTTTGACTTTAAAAAGGTAAAAAAACCTACTTGAAACTGTCCCAGCCATGAGTGGGAGAACTAATGCAAGTCCAAAAGTAGTATTAAGTGATTAGCTTGTCTGACCTTGAAAACAAAACTGCATCCTACATAGTTCCCAGCACAAAAAGACTGTCTGTAATATCCTTTTACTCAGTTTGACCTCTACCACACCATCTATTTCTGTATAAACTGTCCACTGAAAACAGGAAAGTAGAGACAAACGACTCACAAGACATGAAACTCCGGTAAATTGCTTGCATGGCAGCAATGAGCTGATACCTACTCAATCTACCAAATTTTTCATTGTAAAATAAAATAATAAAGATTTCATTCTTCTGTAGGCCACAGGCAACTGGCAAAACCAGGGCTATAATCGACACTTATCCACTATTGGTCATCAGGTACCTAGGCTAACATACGAAATCTATTTGCTGCTGCAAGAAAACACCAACTTCACTTTCAATGGAGCTGTGAACTTGTGCTCTTGAACATTACCTTCTAGTGTGGGGATTTTTGCTCATTTTCAGTTATTAACTTTAGAACTAGATCTACAAAATGGATAATAATCAGATGTGGACATAGATTTTTTACGCATTTTTATTAGCTTTTATTGTTTCTTAACTGTGCAAAGCAGCAGTAGGAACAACGCTGCAACCTTGGGGAGAAGGCAAGAGAAGAAGGCAATAATAAGCATCTTACAGCTCAACATTATTTCTTTGCAGGCACTGGTACAGGAAAGAGTCAACAGCACAAATCATGTTCCTGTTTGTTCATTCGTAAAAGTCCAGAATGCCTTCTCTCATTTCTAGACAAACTGGCCCACATGGGCCCGACACAGCGCAAGGTAAAAATGTTTACAGAGGACACTATAAAACCAGATGTTTGGGAACAACTGGAAAGCCTGGGGTCTGCAGCTTTTTTATGCAAAAACTTAAAAGCGTATTAAAAAAAACACTTAAGTTTCAGCTAGAGACACAATGAGCAGGTAACCATCAAGACACAGTAGTTTTCAAGCCCTAATGATTTTAGCCATTGCATCTTCATCAAACTTTAAACAGTGGGCAAGTAGTTATCAATCTCATCTTTACTGCTCCAGGAAGAGCTCCAAATCAGGACCCAGAAAATGAACACATGCAGAGAGCCACCAAACACACAGGGAAAAACCCTCAAGCTACAACTGGAGAGTGCTTCCAGGCAAGGGCTAGTGTCCTCCCCTCCTTTACACAAGTTCTGTCTGAAAAACAAAGGAGCTTGAATACCTTACAAACTATTACAAACTATGGCCACACACAGGGGCTGAGGCTCTCAGAAAAACCAGCAGCTTAGTCTGCATCCCCAGAAAGGGTAATTCAAAAGTGATCCCCCAAAAACTCTGAAGTCACCAAACAACAGAATGTACATACAATAATGCAGGTCTTTTATGGTAAATCCATCAAAGTTTCCCCAAAGATTTCACCAATTCTGTGAGAGTTGCTGCTGCATCCACTCCTATATTACCTAGTATCCCCATCTTGAAATCACTCAACAGAATAGAAATAAACATGAACTTTGTGCTCAGAGAGTCCATGAAAAAACATAGTTCAACTTCACCTTGAAAAAAATTCTGTTGCCAATCTGTTTCTTTATTCGAGAAGGGAGTTTCAAGAACAGTTTTAACTATGAGTCATAAAGGATGATTCAACATTAATTCTCTACATTACCAAAGAATTAGTCAATCAATAGAGGGACTTCAATAAAACCTCCTAGTGTACCTTTCAAATAAAACATTTGTTCAAGTTGTTTGACAGAGTCACACTGTTTCTACATTACAAAGCCACTCTCACCTGAAAGACCAGTCATAAAATTAACAGTTAAAGCACTCAGATCACACCCACTCCTACTTACAAGACAGTTAAAGAACGACAGTTAAATAATCAGTAAAAGTTTTAATTTTATGCATGTATCTATCTATAAATAGATTTCTCAACACAATTTAGAATGTATGCATTCCAGTGGTGATTAAATTTAAGTTCTTTATCAAACCATGCCCTGACACAATGCTTTACCTAACTCGCTTGAGGCATTTTTACAGGAGAAAAAAGTAATTCCAGATTCAGTGCTGCTGCCTTTTTAATAAAAAATTGGCAGTATTTTCAATGCTAGCACAAGTATTTCTAAATGAAGGTTTAGAAATATGCCACACCAGTAATTTAAAAAAAAAAAAAAAAAAAAGCCTTTTGAAAAAACTGTTAGTAGTATGACTAACAGCAGTCACACTCCACCCAACACATCCACCCTTCTAAATCCAAATGATGATGACAAGGAACCTTTCCATACTACTTGCCAGCAGTTGTTGCAGTTTAGCTGCCTTCCTGGAATTAAAAATCATCTGAGATTCAACTTAAGAGATCTGAAAAAGCCACAAGCAGTTACCACAGTATTAGTACAGACGAAATTATCATTCAAAGGAGGAGGAGCCAAAACCATTTTGTGGCTCAGCTTTGGGAATCCTGTCCTTTGTAATCCCTCCTCATTGGGAGTTTCAACCTCTCTGATGCTGACTCATGGATCATAGGAGTGGTAGATGGAGGAGGAAAGGGAGAGCATCAGAATAGAATGTAACTGTACACAGGCCTCCAAGGAGAGCAAAAAAGGCAGGCTTGCAGCAGATAGCTGACATCTCCTCCTACCAAAGGAAGGCACATCTTTGCAGCAGGACAGGACAGGACAACCAAGCTCAGCTTTAGGTTTCAGTCTTCACTTCCTGCTGCCTTCCTGGCTGGAAGGGAAGGAGCAAGTTGCCAACCAGGCCATTGCTGAGAACAGAGAAAGCCTAGAGTGCAGTGAGCAATTCAGCTAGCACAGGAGAGCTTACTCTCCCTGCATCAGAGGTTTGCCTTAGCACAGCCACCAGTAGCTGCAGTCCACCACTGGATGTGGGGGGAGTAACTCCTGGACAGACACTGTGTGAAGTGGTTCACTACCTGTATCATTCAGAGGTGATCAACCTGCCTGTGGAAACACAAGCTCCGTGTCAAGGTGGCACAGCAACCAGTATGAGACTTTATGCAGTTCCTTCTCCTAGGAACTAGATTTGGTAGGAGGACAGAAGAGATTAAGAAGTCTGAGGAGTGAACTTTATGCTGAGGACCCAGGAAGTTAGTTCTGAATTGGGGCACTGAGTTGAGGAGAGGAGAGCATGAGTGAGAGCAGCACAAATGCTGGCACACTATCACACAGGTTCTGCGAAACTCTTGTAGGCTTCCTGTTTCCTGTAACACAAGTCACAACATTTTTACAAAGGTGAAAGTTTTACAACTTAACTGAACCTGCAACTGCAGAAACAGCTTCTTTGGAAGGCACAGACTTTTAGTCATGTTAAGGAATTAACTCAATTGATCCCTAAAAGTTAATGAAGTTCAAAGTTATTTTCAAGAAAAGGTAACTTGTCTTGAAAAAAAGAAAGGTTTGACTGATTCAGGAAAAAAGAAAAAGTAAACCTAGGTGGCAGCACAGAAGGAAGCACATAAGCATTTTCAGCACAATCCAAAGTACTCTTCTTGTATGTGAGCCAGAACACTTACTCAGGCAAAAAAATTCAGTTACTTCCAAACCTTCCAAGTTCATGACTCCTAGACCAATCTAGGATAAGTTTACCTCAAAATTGTTTATTTCCTTATAGACTTGATTCTTCCTATTCTCAGGTTAGCAATACTAGACACCAAAAAAAAACGTAACTAAGAGGAGCAAATGAGCCACTCAAGATTCTCTGCCACACAATTACTACTGCAGCTTCCTGCAACCAGGACTCCCTGGTCGTACAGAACAGGGTCCAGCAGCCTCCACACTGCTGACATGTGTCTCTTGAGCTCCCACTACAGTGCAGTACACTCCTGCTATCGATTGCATTCAGAATTCTGCTGCTTGTACAGAGAAGTATTTCCGGACTTTAATACATGCTTGGGGTGTCCTGTCAGCCTCCACACCTCAGTTTTACAATCATTCCATAATTCGTGCAAATTCATCCCACAGACACTCCTGGGAATTCAGCTTGAATTTAATAAAGCCAATTTCTACATGCCTTTATATCCCATCTTCAATATAGATGCCTTACTTTATAAAACCATATTTTACATTAAAAATGACTCAAAATGTCCTTTAAAGACCCTTCCAGAGTACTTTTCTCCATGAGAAGTGAGTGAAAGGGACACACAGTTACTTTAAATGCTTTTAACTAGTTATTAGCTCTGATCTGAATAAAGAGGTTTTCACATTTTCTCTTCAGGTTACCTCACTAACCACAACACGAACAGGCATGAGGCTAAATTTCCTGCATCTCTGCAACTACCTGGTGAAATTGCTGCATATGGATCATATAGATATCCATCCAAAAGTGTCCTTGAAAAACACTTGAAATGGAGTATCTCAAATACCTCCACACATATGGGGCACCTAGTATAGTGCAGATCTTCCTCCAGTGACCCACATAACAGTTGTACAAGTTGCTGCACAGATTTTCCCTACTCCAGAATCACACTCTGCACGACACTCCCCAGCCAAGCTCCCAGCCCTTTCCCCACCGCAGCAGCACACATAAGCATTGTATTTCTCCCTCTTAAACAAAACAGAAGAAAACACAAAGTCCCCACTTACCAGCACCGTGGTGCAGATGGACCTGAGCTCAGACTCCACCTTCTCCCGATAGTCCTTGATAAGCTGCATCTTCTTGTCACTGGTGTCTGTCTTCTGCTCGATGCTCGAGATGACCCTCCACGCAGAGCGCCGCCCTCCCACCACGTTCTTGTAGGCCACGGAGAGCAGGTTGCGCTCCTCGTTGGACAGCTCGGCCCCTTGCTCCGTCACTGCCTTCATGCAGGTGGCCATGTCGTCGTAGCGCTCAGCCTGCTCAGCCAGCTTGGCTTTCTGGATCAACTCGGTCTTATCCATGGTGGCTGGCAGTGGGACAAGAGCAGGGCAGGAGCAAAAGCAGGAGAAGATGGGACGTCACACCACCAACACGAGAATGCACCTCAGAGCCTGTCAGGAAGACAGTGACCATGATGCTAAGATCAGCCACCACCCTGCAGGACTGTATGCCACCCAACAGAAAATGGGGATCACCGCGAGCCTTGCCTCCCCTCCCCATCTCCAGGTGCTTCTCGTGGAGGGATGGACTGCAGCATCCCACCCTTCCACGCAAAGCCTGGGGAGAGGCACTCGTCCCAGAGCTCCATCCCGCGGGAAACCACGACCTAGAAACCCAGCGGGGAAGGCACTCCCGGTGCCTGACCAGGGACAGGAGCCTGCAGACCAATCACTGGAAACGGCTGTTTTTCCATCAGAACAAAGTCCTCGCCCTGCTTTCCTTCCTTGCCTCGTGTGAGCGCACTGTCTAACAGGCAAGAGGACCCCGGGCTACCCCCCAGCCTGGGGCCCGTGCCCGAAGC